CTCTCTCTCTCTCTCTCTCTCTCTCTCTCTCTCTCTCTCTCTCTCTCTCTCTCTCTCTCTCTCTCTTCCCCCCCTTCCCCCGTCCCGTCGTGCTCTCTTTTACGTTGCTACTTTACACATTTTCATCGCCGTTTTTTTTTGTTTTTTGTTTTTGCGCCCGTTTTATTGGGACTACCGGTCGCCGGTCGGTGGTTACCCCGCCCGATGCAGCGCGTTAACAGCCGCGTCGGATTTCTCAAGCAGGGCGAGGTTCTGGTGGTTTAACATACACCCTCCTACTATGCAAACCATCCAACCTCTCCACATGAGGAGAACCAAAACATATACATACCCACTGGCACAGGGCCAGAGGAGAACGAGGGGCCTTTCGCCGCACAACTCATCCCCACACAAATGGTCTATAGTGCTAGCCCTCTAATCCTGCAGACTCGTTACCTCTGTATTTGTTCCTTTTTACTCCCTTGTCTTCCCCTATCCTATAGCCCACCTCCTACTATCTCTTATCTAAAGACCGCTACCCCCTCTCTTCCTTCCCCTCTCACCCCGCCTATACGGCGGTTGGAGCCTATTCTCGGATCCAAGTTCTCCATTGACACTCTTTTTCCTCATGGTACCCTGCTGCCTCCTACTATGGAAGTTCAACCGAGTGCCCTGGTATACTAGCTTATACCTCCTACATCTAGCTAACTAACCAGTCTGAGAACTTCAGTTTGTCGCTCTCCCTTACGGCGACCAATTTTCCTTTGTGGGCCCACGTTTCCCTGAACCACAACAGTCTTGCCCCTCGCCCTCTTCCTGTGGGCACTTTCCCTCTCCAGTCTGCTTGTATCATCCTTCTGATTTCCGTTTTGAAAGTGAATATAATTTCCGGATCAAACATGATTTTCCTTTCAAACTGTATCCGATTCCTCTCCTTTCATATGACCCAGAAACCCACTGCCCGGATTACTTGTGCCACATAACCCCATCCCTTCTCAGGATCCCGCCCAAAAGCACCCACTTTCTGTCCCAGGGTTACGTCTCCCCCGTCCAGTAACTCCACTTCTTTGCCCGCCAGTCCCATATTCGCTTAGAGGCCGGGCAATCCCACCAAATGTGGGCAGTAGACTCGAAAGACCAGAGGCACCTTCTGCATTGCGCCTCCACCTTACAACCTCTGCTTATCAGAGATATTGTCGAAGGCGTTGCTAACAGCGATTCCAGCCAGAGCAATGTTGCAGCTCTGGAATTTGGCACAAGCGCTAGTTGCTTCCAACATCTTGTTAACGCCTCGCAAATTCGTTTTGCCTCTTCAGGGTACACTTGTTGCCATCTTTCTATGGCTGTTGTCAGTGGGGGTTTTCCTAGCATCTGTACCTTATAGGCAAGTTTCAAAGAGTACCCATCCAGGGTGAGAGTGTCACCCTTTGGCCCTTTCCCTCTCTAACCCCACTGATTCGGATCTACTCTCAGCTCTGCAATTGGTTGACCGTGATTCCACAGCGTCGCTTTCCATGTCCCTTCGTCATCCACCGATGTCGAACGCATCGGTCCGACACCGCACCAGGGCAGCGCGGGACCCTCCCGGCCGCGTCACGCAGGAGTTAGTTTATATCCGTCATCGCAAAAATATATATGTGGAGCTTCCGCAAGCCGCTCCGGCCGAGTGCGCCAGCCATACCTCTCGCGAGCCCCTACGACAGGATAGGGCCTACGCGAGGCACGACTTACCTCCACCTTACGGGAGTTGTCACCTCCCTTCGGTGGGCGTATCCCCGCCGAGCTACCAGTCCACAGTACGAAAGCTACTCAGTTGCAATCGCAGAGGTGGACCTGCCGAGGGCGTTTCTCGTTCGCTGTAGCATAGGGGGTACGCGAGGCAAGACGCCTATCGGACCCGCACGCGAACCGACATCTTGGGGGGCTGAAGTCCCAAGCGCAGCTCGTCGTCGGTCGACTAGGACACATCCCACACACCACGCGCACTCCACTTTACGAACACACATACACACAAAACAACACATATACGAAACGACACAACACAAACAACGCGACAACGCTCCTAGCCCCTCGGTAACCATCCCATAACTTTCCAATGCAAAAATCGAATAGGCGTCTCGCGCAAGACTTGATATAAAACCGCGCAGACGCAGGGCTAACTCATATCGACTCGCAATGCAAACGTACGCAAGCAGTCGCAATGATGACGTACTATGTAGTGCCTATAATCGTGTGGTCCTCGTTAATCTTGAGGGTCGCATTCGACACTCAAGTGTCGGCTGACATGCGCCTTGAGGGTTACTCTCTCGATGCAGGACAACCTCCAAGCGCGGTTGAAGACCACACACCCTCTTCTGCACTCTGTGCGGAGTGGGGCGAATAAGCTCTGCACGGGGGCAGATTCCTTCCCTGCAGAGTCTAGGGTTTGGGATGTCCTGGATAAGGACCTTGAATCCCGGCCCAGGACCAATGTCCGACCATAAAAATCTCTAAGAAGCAAAGGATAAAAAAGGGATGATCTCCCGTTTTCTCTCAAACCATAATCTGGCTAACCCTTGCGCACGATCACAATAAGCTGCGCGCATGCCCAAGACACATATAAATATATACATAAGGCTTATTTATATAGGACGATCACTTCTCACAGTCACAGTGAGCCTCCTCTCAGCCATATATGTATGTAATCGCATGCAGTCACATCCAGAAGTCGAACCACATCCATACCTGCAATCACATCAAAGATCCATCCAGAAGTTCACGCACTACACGGGGTCAACTTCAACCATTTTTTGCACTCATACCCATCGCTTTAACCATACAAGCCTCACTCGTGCAACTCTTAAATAAATACTCAGTACTTTTGTTGGATGACCATTCAATAAAGTTCGGGTGAAAACACAACAAAACAGTTAAATCACAAGGCTAAAACCTTTAGGTTGAGCGGCAGGAGTGAATTGGAGTTGAATCGTAAACCGACGAATCGGCAACCAACCTGTTGTTGGTGATAACAAAAGGTGATCCTCGTAGAATCAAGTTGAAACTAGTCCAAATCCTGAATCAGTCAATCAAGAAGAAGACCTGTAACGCAAGACAGACCAATCCCCAAGCTAAAATCATAAGTGTATGGAGAGCACAACTCCATAACACATTCTCACCCAAAATCTTTCTAATTGACTAATTCTGAATCTACTTTTAAGCCATGTCCAAAGCAAAGGTAGACCCTGGCGTAATCTCCTCTATACAGAGTGGATTGCCAAAATCGCCACCTGTCAAAACATAATCTATCTCCGTTAAACTAAGAAAATTTCGGCAGCACTTCCCGTAGGGAAAGTGTCTTTCCAGAATTTATATAAGTCCAAATATAAAAGCAGAAATAATCTTTAACTCTGGAAAGTCAAATTTTGTCTAACTCCTTAAATTAGTAAAAAATTGGGCAGCACTCCCTTTAAGAAGAGAGACTTCCCAGATTTACACTAAGTCAGATATGAACTCAAAAGACAACTTGAGTTCAACTTAGACAAGATTTAACTAA